CTCATATTCACAGACTGGTCCTGATTGTTTCTGAATTGCTAGACAGTTTTATAAAAATCACCATAAATTGTAGAAACATCGTATGGAGATGTGCAAGTAGTCATTAGAAAGGTATAAACCTGAACTACTTTCATATAAAACAGTTTTGAAAGATATTAAGTTTAAGATAGTCAAAACAGTCCGTGAATGGGACTCAACTTTTTTGATGAAAGCTGTGGTTTGAGCTTAGTTAAGTTTTTGATGTATTAACTTGTATCCCCCCCCCCCCCCCCCCCCTTAAAACTAGAAGAAAACATGAAAATGTAGGGGTATGAACTCACATTGAGTGATTTCCTTAGATGTATGCTGAAGAGAAAGGATTTCCAAGTCAAGAACACTTGATAGGAGCTTGGAGAGTTGAAGATCTAAGAACAATTATGGTGACATTTGTTACGAGAGATTCATAATCTGAGTGAAGGAGTGAAGAATGTTCAATGTAGGATGAGAATACTTACTGAATGAGGGTGAGAAGCTCAAAGGCAGCCTTGGAGTCTCGAGTTCTTAGAGAGGGAAATGAGAGAGAAGTGTTTGTTTCTTGGTGAGAGAGTGTGTAAAATGGAAGGAGAGATGGGGGTTTCCAACTTTTGATCAAGTTACCAGCTGGAGGAGAGGTGTGAGAGGACAAATAGTTGACTAGGTATGGATGAATAGTGACTGAGGGTTGTCCTATGTGGGTATGGGGGTTAGCTTAAGTCACACTTCATGGAAAAATCAACACTCTAACTCAATATCTCACCCACTAGATATTGTCCTTAAGTTGAGATTTCCCCCAAAATGTGATTAAAATATGAATATATATGGTCTTATATGTCAATATATAAGTTTGGGTGAAATCCCACGCGAAAATCATGAAAAACAAGCTTAAAATGCAAAAGTGGTCGAAAACCGGGAGAAGGAAGCGAACCTGCGAGGGTTCCGGAGCGAGGTCTTCCGAGACGTGCGAGGGAAGAGTACTCCGGAGTGAAGGAGTCCGAAGCTGAGGGAGATGCGAAATTGTCCGGTTCCGGACTAAGAGGGTTCCGGACCAAGAGGGTTCCGAACTCGGACCAAGAGGGTTCCGGGCCAAGAGGGTTCCGGACCAAGAGGGTTCCGCCAAGAGGGTTCCGGACCAAGAGGGTTTTCTCTTTTGGTTTTGGGTTGTTTTCGACTGAGGAATGTACATAGAGAGATTTGGGAGAGATTTCACATTCTTGGAGAGATTTGGGAGAGATTTCACATACTTGGAGAGATTTGAGAGAGATTTCACATGCTTGGAGAGATTTGGGATTTCACATACTTGGAGAGATTTGAGAGAGATTTCACATGCTTGGAGAGATTTGGGATTTCACATACTTGGAGAGATTTGGGAGAGATTTCACATGCTTGGAGAGATTTGGGAGAGATTTCACATACTTGAAGAGATTTGGGAGAGATTTCACATACTTGGAGAGATTTGGGAGAGATTTCACATACTTGGAGAGATTTGGGAGAGATTTCACATACTTGGAGAGATTTGGGAGAGATTTCACATACTTGGAGAGATTTGGGAGAGAGATAGATACAATGGAGAGATTGAGAGAGACTTTGTCGGGAGCCTTTATTAATGTTTTTCTTCGTAGTTCAAAGACCGTAGGCTTAGTTACATCCCATTTTGAGTGTTATACACCCCCGAAGGGCACGTGATAGTGTTTTATAGAGTTGTTACTTCCCTCCTTCTGATTAGGGTTTAGAATTTTGAACATTTGAAACTTTCAAGTGTTACTTTGCATTTAAGGTTTAGAGTCATACATTAGTAACCATAAAGAAATCCCTAATCATATTAGTACTAGACGAGTTGACCAGTTTGACTTGTTGACTTTCTTTGACTTTGACCAGACCAGAAAGTGATGGTTGTCACATACATGGACCTTTCCCTAAAGCCCATTTACTTTTTCTGAATCATTATACATGTCCATGGCTAGCCCAACTAAATCCATGTACTTACAAGCTCATAAGAAATCTCGAATCCGAAATGACCCACAAGGCCCAATAAGGCCCAAATCTATCTTGAACCTAACCCAAGAAGGCCCAATCTCCAAAAAGGCCTGAAATACTACATGGGCTTCCCTAACCAACTCCTGGTCCTTGGTCCAAGGCCGAAAAAGGTCAACAAGACAAAGTGAGTCAACCAGGCCGAGTATGTCCTGCGTACTCAGATGGTACGCCCAACGTACACCACTTTGGGCCAGTACGCGCAGCGTACCAGACGTACGCCCATCGTACTCCTCTAAAGTCCAACCCTCTCCAAATAAGCAGTTAATCACTTCAGCCCTTGCTCCAACTCTCCAGTCTGACTTCTATAGGTGACTTTTCAAGTAAAGTTGGCAACTTTACTAACATGCATAGCTTAATGGGACTCTAGAGCTCAAAAGAGCTTAATGGATGGTCTTAACTCATGCTTGGACTCAAACACTTCACAAAGCTTGCACCTTTATGAGAGATGGGACCTTAGAATGTCCAGATCTACAAGTTTGAGTCGCCTAAAACGACCCTAGCTCACCAAGACCAAGCAAAAGGCTAAAATGGCCAAAAACCAACCCAAAAGAGGATCTATGAAATGGAAAGTCAAGATCAGAGCTTTTTACCTCCAATGGGTTGCAAAATATGAGGACTTTCTGGATCTACAAGCTCCCTTCCATGATCAACACTTGAACACCACCTTCTCTTCTTGCACACACACACACACTAAAAGTCTTCTTTCAAGCTCCAAGCTTCATCCAAGGTCATTTAGGGTTTCATGGTCGTGAAAAGGGGTGGAGGCTGATCTAAAATGACCGAGGGAAGGATATAATGTGGCTTATATAGGGCACAAGTAGAGGAATTAGGGTTTGGTCTGAAGAGATTACGCCTCGCGTACCCCTTTGTACGCCCGGCGTACTCAATGACTACCCGCGACCAACCTCCTTCATACGTTGGGCGTACCCCAGCTTACGTTGGGCGTACCCAGCTGAACACGTGCACGCCTTCTTGCATGCATGAGGCTGATCTGCCAAGTATTTCCATTAGGGGCTAATTTTGCCAAGACCTTCAAAGTACCATAACTTCCTTATTCTAAGTCCATTTCCGACGAACTTTATTACCACAGAAAGGGGACGAGAAGCCCTACGCTCGTAGCTATACCCCAAGCTTCAAAACCTTTCGAATAAAACCCAAGACTCATAACAGACCAAATCGTCAAATTACGCTTATACCCTTGGCCTCCGAAGACACAATCAAACACTTTCAAAACCGGGTGTTACATATGCGCTTTTTCTAAAATATTTGACTTCACATATTCCATCATATCCTTCGACAATTTCTTTTCTCTTTCCAATGTCGCACAACCACGTTGAACTAGAAGAGCCTTCTTCTTCACCTTCTACAACGTGAAGTCATTCGTTCCATTGAATTTTTTCAAATTAAACTTGTTATACAACATCCCTTCAGCAACAACAGATCTAGCCACTCGAATAATCGCAACTCTAATACCACTTATTAAGTAGCAAGCAAAGAAAGCTATAAAACAGCATAGAGAATTGATGTGGTTCGCTGAATGTGACATATGTGATTATGTCCATGAGCTAAAACCGGATAATTCTTCTATTACTTGACTATTTTCAAAAGTGATTCATTGGAATCCCTAGCTACTAATACTTATAACTGTAAACCCTAGAAAATATAGAGTCGGACCCATATAGTTATCCTTTGAAATTGCAATTCATTCGGATCACCGGTTCCAAATCACATTCTAGAAAAAAGAATTTCCCAATGTTATATAATAAAATGTTTCATTGATAAATAGTGAGGTTAAACCTCATATAAATAGGGATACATAAGAGACCTAATCTAAACCCTAAAGGGCTTGGGCCTAACCCTAATCACTAACATCCCCCCGCAATTCGATCGGAAGGGACGATTAAACTAGAAAAACAAAAACGAAAACATAAAACATAACATAAATGAAGACAACGGCAACGACGGTGACAGAGCTCTAACGATGACGGCTAACAACAACCGCTCGTTGGAGAAGGAGAAGGAGAGAGAAGAAGCAACAACCAGCGACGGTTACTTTGTATAAAAAGAGAGGAGCAGCGGCGGCGACGATCATCAAGTCGGCGGTAGAGGAGTCCAAAGAAAAGCAGCTAGAAAGAAAGAGGGCTCGAGCTGTGGCGGACGGAGCCTATTCTGACTGACTCAGAAAATAGATCTTAAATAGAGGCAGGTTAAGGAGAAGGCTGAAAGCTTAGAGGCAGGAGCCATCCGACGATGAGACATAAGCAAACGAGGCAGTAGAAGAAGTCGATCTCTAGTTTGGTGCCAGCTGCTGCTTTATTATTTAGGAGGAGAAAAAAAAAAACAAACGAAGGGAATATGAAGCATAATGAAGTCACTTCCGACGATTATGAGAGAATGTCGTCGGACGTGGAGGGCGGCGGTAGCGGGTTGTGGTCAGCAGTAGGATTTTAACCTAGAGCTCTGATACAATGTTATATAATAAAATGTTTCATTGATAAATAGTGAGGTTAAACCTCATATAAATAGGGATACATAAGAGACCTAATCCATCCTAAACTTATCACCTATAGAACCTAATCCATCTTAAACTGTCAGGAACGGTCACCAGAAAAATTGAAAATTGAAATATTGTCTGTAGGAAACCTATGAGTATTTCTGATGGATATTTTTATCCATCGGTAAGAATCCGCGGTAATACCCCTATTTTGTGGTAGCTTGGTGATTGTTGGCACCATGATTGCAAATTTGTGTTGGATTGTAGGTTTTATTTCACAAAATTTTATAGATATAATGAATGAGCTTACAAGGAATTTGAAATTACTCATAAGAGACCGGATAATCATGGAGATGTCTACAGATGATCAACATCCAATGTATCTGGGTTACAGCTTCAAAATTGAAGTACTCTATGTGTTTATGGACATGTAAAGAAATGAAAATCCATGATTCTACCGGGCATCTAATGATGTAATTGTTACTTCATTAACCGAAACTGATCCTGGTTTGGATGAAGTAGAATTTGGTTCAAGCTCGGAGAAAAATGCAGGTTGTTTAGGTGGAGGCAACATACCCTCGTTACCAAACATCAGAACCACAAATGACATTGTTGGCCTATCTTCAACATGATTTTGAACACATAATAAACCAATGTGTACACACCGTAGTACTTCAGAAACGATGCATGATTTGCGTAGGGATTCACTAACCAGTTCAAGGGTCTTGTCATCTTTATAGAGTCTCCATGCCTAATGTATACCATGGCATAAAAAGGAAATTAAAAGCATAGCAAAGAACAGTTTTTAGCACCTATAGAAGGATTTATGTTCCAAAACTTACATGTCCAAGAAGATTATCACAGTGCTCGTGATGGGAGAATCCTCGATTCTTCATTCCACTAACTATTTCAAGCACCAATACTCCAAAGCTGAATACATCTGATTTTATCGAGAAGAACCCATGCACTGCATACTCAGGGGAGATATAACCGCTGCAGCAGGATTTGATAAATTAATAGAGAAAGAAAATATATTTCTTTACCGAGTCCAAGATACAAATCAGGTTTATTAATTCTTACTAAGTTCCAACCACATTCTTTGTCTTAGCTCCGGTCTCGTATCCCTTAAACCTTCTAGCAAGGCCAAAATCAGAGATCTTTGGGTTCATATCATTGTCCAACAAAATATTGCTGGCTTTCAGATCTCTATGTATAATGCGAAGTCGAGAATCTTGATGCAAATATAGAAGCCCCCGAGAGATCCCTTGGATTATATGGAAACGCAGTGGCCAATCAAGCATTAAATGTCTGGTTTCATCTGAGGAGAGAACAACTAGTCAATTAGTAGTAAGCCTGTATTTGATGGAAATTTTAAATCATGTAATACCAAATAAAAATGTGTCTAGGCTTCTGTTAGGCATGTATTCATAAATCAACATGATTTCATTTCCTTGAGCACAGTATCCGAAAAGCTTCACTAGATTTCGATGCTGAAGTCTGGCAACAAATCTAACTTCATTTTCAAACTCATCAAATCCCTGTGTAGAAGTTTCTGATAGCCGCTTCACAGCTATCTCCCGTCCATCTTCCATCACACCCTAATAAATCTTTGAGTTAGTAATAAACAATCAAGATCCTAGTTCAAATCTAATTAAGGAACAACACTCTAGTGTGCACAAGACAGCCATGTATAAGTATTTTACCTTGTAAACTGGACCAAAACCACCTTCTCCAAGCTTATTGCTGACTGAGAAGTGATTTGTATATTTTGCTATTTTAGCCAAGCTAAACGATAGTAGCTCTACATCTTTATTCTGGCTCCCGTCTGTATAATCATCAACAAGGGATTGTACCAGATTACCTGCAGAGTGATACATCAAATTAAACCAAAAGTAAGTAGATAGTTGAACCTTGTGTACGTACGCATGTATGTTTTTTTTGAGTTTTTCCAGCTGTGACATATTATAATGAGAACTGGTGGCATTAATTACCTGGTCTTGGGGAATTTTTTTTCTTATAAGCATACAGTACTGCTAATGTCAGACCAACAAGAACTACGCCAACAGAAGTCAAGAGGACCAATATGATTTTTCTTTTCTTGCTCCAGCCAGTTGACTCAGTCATGGCAATTCTTATGTAAAGATCTTGATTTTCCTCAAAGTCTCTGATATCCATCAGATTTCCAAACCATAGCAAACATCCGCTTCCGCCATTTCTAACATCCAAATTCGCATAAGCTGTACAAGAGCAATTCCTCTTGCATTCTCTTTTACATTCTGCAAGGCTCATGCTCACATTGTACCATGTTTTTCGAGAGTCTGGCAGTGTTACACCTGTAATCTTCTGAAATCCATCCCTATTCATACAGTCTAAAGGCTTTTCACGTTGACACCCACTCGACCAGTTTGCTATATTCCATTCTTCGGGGGTGTAGTGGTTCAAAACCCTCAATACAACTGCATATAGGGGACTTGTTAATGTCACATATTCCATTTGGACCACATTTCCCATATTGTGCACACATATCAACAGTAATAGCCGCATATTGAATCCAAGCTTGTATGGGATCAACCCAGTTCAAACGTGCCTGGTGGCCTTGTGGACTTAGATAAGCCCTTGAACGAAATGAACTATTGATAAGTTCCCATTTGAAATATACCTCCTTCTGATTCACAACAAATTCATATGTGTAAAATGGATTAGGCATCTCTCTTGGAAAGCCACTGAAACTAAGACCATTCCATGGTCCAAACCTATATTGTATGACTGAACCCGGCTTATAAATGTCTGTGGGTATCCATTTGTATCCATCCAATTTACATATAGACCTGGAGAAGGATCATCCAGACTCTTCCATGAACTCAATGCTATGTCTCTGCCAGAGACTAAGTCCTTCCCAAATTTCATTCCTGGTAAAATATGGTCACAGGGATGATCAAAACTTTGCCAGATGAGATTTAAGTGGTCAATGTCACTTTCATTCCTCACAACAAGATTTCCATTATCTAGAAGCTGTGCCACTGGATGAAGATTCCCGACCAATACAGATGAATTCGATGACCAGATGTCTCGGCCTTCACCATTGAGGAGCAGCAAACTTCCCTGGCTACTGACTTTGAACACACCAGATGTATTGTTAAGTGGTATTTCTCTGTTGGCAACCCAAACAACTGTCTGAGATATCTTGTAATACCATATCCCCAAGTATCGGTTCTTTGAATTTCCAGGGCTAAAAAAGCCCAGTTCAAACATTTCACCGCTTGAGATGATGGTCTCACCGTCTCTTATGTACTCATTTCCACCTATGGTGTCCATTTCAGCAGAAATTATGTGGAGCAACTGAAGAAAGATAAGGCAGCTGTAGTGATTGCCTTTCATCGGTGTTTCTGATCTGAAAGTGTTTGTCGATCGGTGGATATCATGTGTTGTTGAAACTTGAAACCAAACCTACTTGATATACCAATTTTGAATTTTCGGTGATAGGAATCGTCAACTTTTGGTGTATTTTCTCAGCACCCCAATTTTGAGTTTCCATCTTCCATACATTGTTTTCTTAATTTTTTATATATATAATATATCCGTCAACATCAGTTACGATGGAAGTCGTATCAAATTATTTGTTTTGCTTAATATCTCGGTTACCCTTGGTACACCTTTTTCAATTCAATTGCTTTCAAGTTGCAATGTTTATCATTGGCCCTACTACCTACATGGCTACATTGATAAAAATAATTTGAGCATTTACTCATTTAGGTATTCCTATTGGGGTTGGCTAAAAATAATTTGAGCATTCCTATTTCCCTTCCCGGAGAGAAGATAACTTGGTGTGAGGTCAGCATTACTTCTTTATTTGTAGTCTAAGATTTACTTTTTTTTTTCTTATTTAAATATTTAATGCCTTAATGGACAGTCGCATTATTACGAGATTATTGAATTTAGCATGTGGTAAAGATTCATATGAATGCTTGCCTAACATGCATCCTTCACATACTACTTCAAGTTTATTGACATTTAGCATCCCACAAGGCACAAATTAACAATATTATGCTTTACACATATATGTCAAGGATCCAAAGTTCATGTGTGATGTTTGGTGGTTAGTCAAATTAAATGAAAAGAGTGAATCCTCTTGGAACTTTAATGGGAAATTTTATTTAAAGTCGTGTATATCTTTCCAATCAAGTTATTACAACTAGGATTTTATGTTATGGTCACTATAAACAGTTAAACACCATGAAAGGAAAAATGCATACTCAAAATATGATACTATTGACAAAAGCATGCAACTTCATGATACATAATTACACAAAAACCATTAATGGTGGCTAAATGTACACCAATATTTGGCATATGAATACTTATTTCCTACCGAGGATCTAACAATGTTATAGTTGCTTCATCAACTTCTGAAAAGGTGTAGTGCTTAGGCGAACCTTCTTCAGCAAAGAAAGCAGGTTGTTTAGGTGGAGGTAGCGATCCATCACCACCCAACATCATAACCACAGAGGACATAGTTGGTCTATCTTGTGCATGATTTTGTACACATAATAGCCCAACATGTATTGATCTTTTCACCTCTGAGATAATGCATGACTTACGTAAAGATGGACTCATGAGGTCAAGGTACTTGCCTTCTATATACAGTCTCCATGCCTGAATGAAACCAAAAAGTTAATAAAATATTTTCAAAAGAAGATAATTAATCCATGAGATTTACTTACATGTCCAAGAAGGTTATCACTGAGATTTTCATGTGAGAATTTTCTGTTTTTCTTCCCACTCACTATCTCCAGCACCAAAACACCAAAACTAAACACATCTGATTTTACAGAGTATTAGACAAATGTTATATATATTAGGCATTAATTACATGTTTATATTCTAGAGGGATCATAGTGTAAGTATATCTATTATTAATACTTATGTAATCGTGACATTCTGAGAAGATATACAATTCACGTTTTACCAATTTAACTTGGTATCAGAGCCGCTATTCCCTAACCCTAAAATTGGCGCCACAGCAGCCCTCAAGATCATCAACCGCACTAGACAGCTACAATCATCCACATCAACCTGCACCTGTTTCTACTCTTTCTTCCTCTTTTCTCTTGTCGATCAGTACACATTGACATTAGCCAATACAATGGCGCCTCTCACAGCATTCACTACTGCAGAGAAAACAGCCCACAACTCTCATAAATTTGCCTTTACTTTGTCCCCAAACAACTATGGCTACTGGAAAACTATGTTACAGCCCTTTCTGGTTACAAACAACCTGTTCGGGTATGTTGATGGCACCATACAGTGCCCACCAGCCACCATCGTGTCCACCACCCCTACAGGAAAAGAAGGCGACACCATGACCACATCCACATCTACTACTAACCCTTGTTACAATACATGGGTCTCTAATGATGCGCATGTTCGAATGCTTATTCTGTCCACCATCTCTGAGACGTCTTTTCAGCATGTTCAAGGTAATACATCACGTGATCTTTGGCTGTCTTTAGAAAGTGCTTATGCTCCTCATACTTCTTCTCGTGAATATACTCTTAAAACCCAACTTCTGAAAATCACAATGAAAGAAGATGAGTCCTCATCTGCTTACTTAACCCGTGCACAAGAGTATTCTAATGCTCTTGCTAATATTGGCGAACCAGTTAAAGAAAAGGACCTTGTCATGCTGGTTATCTCTGGCTTAAGAGAAGAATACAATGGCTTGAAATCTACCCTTTTAGCAAGACAGTCTCCAACAGCCTTTGCTGAACTTCATGGTCTACTGTCCGACCATGACTACATGATTACAAAGACCTCCACAGTGATGCCACCAGCCCAAGCGTTCACAACCACCACTAGACAGCCCGGTTCCATGGCTGCTGGTTCGTCTCTATCACAAGATGAAGCAATCCAAGCTGTTCAAAAGCTTGCACAACAGCTGGGGTTACAGCTCCAGCCAACTAATTCAACATCAGCCCAAGCTTTTTACACAAATCGATCAGGAAACAATCGCAACAGCCGATCAACAAACAACCGTGGGCGTGGCAGCTACAACAATCGTCCACAAGGAGGAGGTAATAGAAACCAATTTAGTTGGGCATCTAATCAAAATACTGTGTATGGTACATGTAACAGGTGCGGTATTGGGCATGTTCCGTCTCAATGCCCTAATCGAGATCCCTCCACCATACGTGTGAGACAACAACAACCATCCGCTAATTTTGCAGATTATCGATCCCGGGCCTCCTCTACCTGGGTCACTGATACTGGGTCTAGTCATCATGTTGCATCCGATCTCTCGAGCTTTGATCACTCCGAGGCATACCATGGCCATGACAGCTTACATGTTGGCAACGGTAAAGGTTTACCCATTCTCCATATTGGCTCCTCTAAACTCTATTCTCCTAATAAAACTTTTCATCTCTCACAAATTCATGTTCCAGAAATCAAACAAAACCTTCTTTCTGTTCAAAAATTTTGCGATGATAATAATGTTTATTTTGAATTTCACACTTCCTTTTTTGCTGTGAAGGACGAGAATACTCACACTACCCTCCTCATGGGTCCAAGTAGTGGCGGCCTTTACTCCTTCCACCTTCCGCAGTTGCAGTCTACCTCGTCTAAAGTTGCTTTCTCCGCTACTCGTGCTTCTTCCGTCACTTGGCATCAACGACTTGGACATCCCCATCCGCAGCTGTTGAAGTCAATGATTTCTAGATATAGTTTACCTTTATCAAACAATTTTGTCAATTCACCTTGTGATTCTTGTTCTATTGGAAAATCTTCAAAACTTCATCTATCATCTTCTAATTATAAAAGTTCTCATATTTTAGATTTACTCTTTTGTGATGTTTAGGGACCAGCCCCTGTTACTTCTTTTGAAGACCATCGATATTTCTTACTATGTGTTGATCATTTTTCTAGTTTTATGTGGATTTTTCCCTTAAAATCCAAATCTGATGTCTTTAGTACTTTCCAACAGTTTCTTCTTACAGTAGAACGACAATTTCAAACCAAACTAAAATCTGTTCAAACTGATTGGGGAGGTGAATTTCGAAACCTCTCTAAGTTTTTCTCATCTCTCGGCATTACTCATCGCTTGTCTTGTCCTCACACCAGTGAACAGAATGGCGTTGTTGAGCGTCGTCACCGTCATGTGGTCGAAACCGGCCTCACTCTTCTTGCTCAATCCGGTGTTCCACAACGGTTTTGGCATTATGCTTTTGACACAGCCGTCTATCTCATAAATCGTATGCCTTCTAGAACCAACTCCAATATCTCACCTTTCGAACATGTTTTCAAACACAAACCTGATTTTTCCTTTCTTCGTGTGTTTGGTTGTCGATGTTATCCACATCTCCGTCCGTATAACAAGCATAAAATGGATTTCAGATCTCTTCCGTGCATTTTTCTTGGATATAGCACCTCCCACCATGGTTATCGGTGCTTTGACCCTCTTTCCGAACGCCTTTATATCGCTCGTCATGTTCGTTTTCATGAACAATTATTCCCTTACCAAATCAGCCCATCATCTCCACCCACATCTTCCTTTGATCCTTATACATCCTCTTATCCTAATCCTGTACCTGACATATCAACTCCTTCCAATACATCCCCTACACCTCCTACGTCACCTACACCATCTCCTTCCAATACATCCCCTCCACCTCCTATATCACCTACACCATCTCCTTTCAATACATCCCCTACACCTCCTACATCACCTACACCATCTCCCGCATCATCTTCTTCCCCTATATCTCCACATGAACCTCCTCTTCCGCCTCTCCTTTATACCTTTGCTCGACGCCCTAAAACTACCACCACCTCTCAACCAGAAAACACCACATCTCAACTAGCACATTCTACCTCCCAACCCGACAGTTCCTCCTCTCTACCTCGTCCTCGTCCCTCTAATTTGCGTCCTAATCCTAAACCCTCTCAACCATATAGTCCGGCCTCCTATCATACTACTACTGTTCCTACCGAACCAGCCACCTTTAACGTTGCTAACAAATCGCCTCAATGGCGTCAGGCCATGGCCGATGAGTATTCTGCTCTTCAGCGCAACAACACCTGGTCCTTAGTTCCTCCTCCATCGAATGCTAATGTTGTTGGTTGTAAATGGGTCTATAAGCTCAAACGTGATCCAACTGGGGCAATTACACGTTACAAAGCGCGTCTTGTTGCAAAAGGTTATCGTCAGCAACATGGTCTTGATTATCATGAGACTTTTAGTCCCGTTGTCAAAGCGACTACAATTCGGGTGGTTCTATCCTTGGCAGTCTCACACAGTTGGCCCTTACGACAACTTGATGTTCAAAATGCCTTCTTACATGGCGATCTCACATAGACAGTCTACTTGCAACAACCACCGGGTTTTGTTGATCCGGACAAACCTGATCATGTTTGTCTTCTCCACAAGTCTCTCTATGGACTTAAGCAAGCTCCCCGAGCATGGTTTCATCGGTTGTCAACTGCACTTCATGCTCTTGGTTTTCGTGGATCTAAAACGGATCCTTCGCTGTTTATATACTCCTCTAACGGTGTTCTCTTGTATATGCTTGTTTATGTTGATGACATTATTCTCACAGGAAATAGTACCGCTGATATCGACCGGGTTGTTCAGCATCTTAGTCGCATTTTTGCTCTACAAGATTTGGGGTCGTTATCTTATTTTTTGGGGGTTGAAATTATTAAGCAGGGGTCCGACATTGTTTTGTCTCAAAGAAAATACATATTCGAGCTACTTGAACGTGCGAATTTGTCTAATGCCAAATCTGTGCCATCTCCGATTACTACCACCGCCAATCTTGCCCTTGGCGACAGTCCACCATTTGAAAACCCGGTTAAATATCATCAACAAGGGATTGTACCAGATTACCTGCAGAGTGATACATCAAATTAAACCAAAAGTAAGTAGATAGTTGAACCTTGTGTACGTACGCATGTATGTTTTTTTTGAGTTTTTCCAGCTGTGACATATTATAATGAGAACTGGTGGCATTAATTACCTGGTCTTGGGGAATTTTTTTTCTTATAAGCATACAGTACTGCTAATGTCAGACCAACAAGAACTACGCCAACAGAAGTCAAGAGGACCAATATGATTTTTCTTTTCTTGCTCCAGCCAGTTGACTCAGTCATGGCAATTCTTATGTAAAGATCTTGATTTTCCTCAAAGTCTCTGATATCCATCAGATTTCCAAACCATAGCAAACATCCGCTTCCGCCATTTCTAACATCCAAATTCGCATAAGCTGTACAAGAGCAATTCCTCTTGCATTCTCTTTTACATTCTGCAAGGCTCATGCTCACATTGTACCATGTTTTTCGAGAGTCTGGCAGTGTTACACCTGTAATCTTCTGAAATCCATCCCTATTCATACAGTCTAAAGGCTTTTCACGTTGACACCCACTCGACCAGTTTGCTATATTCCATTCTTCGGGGTGTAGTGGTTCAAAACCCTCAATACAACTGCATATAGGGGACTTGTTAATGTCACATATTCCATTTGGACCACATTTCCCATATTGTGCACACATATCAACAGTAATAGCCGCATATTGAATCCAAGCTTGTATGGGATCAACCCAGTTCAAACGTGCCTGGTGGCCTTGTGGACTTAGATAAGCCCTTGAACGAAATGAACTATTGATAAGTTCCCATTTGAAATATACCTCCTTCTGATTCACAACAAATTCATATGTGTAAAATGGATTAGGCATCTCTCTTGGAAAGCCACTGAAACTAAGACCATTCCATGGTCCAAACCTATATTGTATGACTGAACCCCGGCTTATAAATGTCTGTGGGTATCCATTTGTATCCATCCAATTTACATATAGACCTGGAGAAGGATCATCCAGACTCTTCCATGAACTCAATGCTATGTCTCTGCCAGAGACTAAGTCCTTCCCAAATTTCATTCCTGGTAAAATATGGTCACAGGGATGATCAAAACTTTGCCAGATGAGATTTAAGTGGTCAATGTCACTTTCATTCCTCACAACAAGATTTCCATTATCTAGAAGCTGTGCCACTGGATGAAGATTCCCGACCAATACAGATGAATTCGATGACCAGATGTCTCGGCCTTCACCATTGAGGAGCAGCAAACTTCCCTGGCTACTGACTTTGAACACACCAGATGTATTGTTAAGTGGTATTTCTCTGTTGGCAACCCAAACAACTGTCTGAGATATCTTGTAATACCATATCCCCAAGTATCGGTTCTTTGAATTTCCAGGGCTAAAAAAGCCCAGTTCAAACATTTCACCGCTTGAGATGATGGTCTCACCGTCTCTTATGTACTCATTTCCACCTATGGTGTCCATTTCAGCAGAAATTATGTGGAGCAACTGAAGAAAGATAAGGCAGCTGTAGTGATTGCCTTTCATCGGTGTTTCTGATCTGAAAGTGTTTGTCGATCGGTGGATATCATGTGTTGTTGAAACTTGAAACCAAACCTACTTGATATACCAATTTTGAATTTTCGGTGATAGGAATCGTCAACTTTTGGTGTATTTTCTCAGCACCCCAATTTTGAGTTTCCATCTTCCATACATTGTTTTCTTAATTTTTTATATATATAATATATCCGTCAACATCAGTTACGATGGAAGTCGTATCAAATTATTTGTTTTGCTTAATATCTCGGTTACCCTTGGTACACCTTTTTCAATTCAATTGCTTTCAAGTTGCAATGTTTATCATTGGCCCTACTACCTACATGGCTACATTGATAAAAATAATTTGAGCATTTACTCATTTAGGTATTCCTATTGGGGTTGGCTAAAAATAATTTGAGCATTCCTATTTCCCTTCCCGGAGAGAAGATAACTTGGTGTGAGGTCAGCATTACTTCTTTATTTGTAGTCTAAGATTTACTTTTTTTTTTTTATTTAAATATTTAATGCCTTAATGGACAGTCGCATTATTACGAGATTATTGAATTTAGCATGTGGTAAAGATTCATATGAATGCTTGCCTAACATGCATCCTTCACATACTACTTCAAGTTTATTGACATTTAGCATCCCACAAGGCACAAATTAACAATATTATGCTTTACACATATATGTCAAGGATCCAAAGTTCATGTGTGATGTTTGGTGGTTAGTCAAATTAAATGAAAAGAGTGAATCCTCTTGGAACTTTAATGGGAAATTTTATTTAAAGTCGTGTATATCTTTCCAATCAAGTTATTACAACTAGGATTTTATGTTATGGTCACTATAAACAGTTAAACACCATGAAAGGAAAAATGCATACTCAAAATATGATACTATTGACAAAAGCATGCAACTTCATGATACATAATTACACAAAAACCATTAATGGTGGCTAAATGTACACCAATATTTGGCATATGAATACTTATTTCCTACCGAGGATCTAACAATGTTATAGTTGCTTCATCAACTTCTGAAAAGGTGTAGTGCTTAGGCGAACCTTCTTCAGCAAAGAAAGCAGGTTGTTTAGGTGGAGGTAGCGATCCATCACCACCCAACATCATAACCACAGAGGACATAGTTGGTCTATCTTGTGCATGATTTTGTACACATAATAGCCCAACATGTATTGATCTTTTCACCTCTGAGATAATGCATGACTTACGTAAAGATGGACTCATGAGGTCAAGGTACTTGCCTTCTATATACAGTCTCCATGCCTGAATGAAACCAAAAAGTTAATAAAATATTTTCAAAAGAAGATAATTAATCCATGAGATTTACTTACATGTCCAAGAAGGTTATCACTGAGATCTTCATGTGAGAATTCTCTGTTTTTCTTCCCACTCACTATCTCCAGCACCAAAACACCAAAACTAAACACATCTGATTTTACAGAGAAACGCCCATGAAGTGCATATTCGGGTGATATGTAACCACTGTAAAACACCAAAAGAATGACAGATAAGAAAATGAACCCCATGGTGCACATTATTCAGATACTTACTATGTTCCAACCACTTTCTTCGTTTTGGCTGTAATCTGGTTTCCTTCAAACTCTCTAGCAAGGCCAAAATCTGATATTTTAGGGTTCATGTCATGATCCAACAGAATATTGGCTGCTTTGAGGTCTCTGTGTATGATTCGAAGGCGAGAATCTTGGTGGAGATAAAGCATTCCTCTAGCAATCCCACTGATGATGCAAAAACGTCGAGGCCAGTCAAGCATACAACTTTTGGTTTCATCTGCCAACACAAGATTACCGTATATATAGATTTAGATTTAGATTTAACAGACTAATTTTACTTTAAAATGAAAATAATAGAATGATGAAAGAGCTGAACCAAATAGAAGTAAGTCCAGGCTTTTGTTAGACAGGTATTCATAAATCAGGATCCTTTCATCTCCATCCATGCAGTATCCAAGAAGCTTCACAAGATTCCGATGTTGAAGTTTGGCAACACAAACAACTTCATTGTAGAATTCATCATAACCTTGTTCAGAAGTCCTAGAAAGTTGCTTCACAGCTATTTCTTGTCCTGTTTCCAACACTCCCTAAAGATTTATAGTCAGGAATATGATTAGCTTTACTTTTTCTGTTAAATGGGAAAACTATAATTTTATGCAAAAAGTTACCTTGTAAACAGGACCAAAGCCACCTTCTCCAAGCTTATTCTCAACTGAGAAGTTATTGGTAGCCTTGGTTATTATAGATAAGCTAAAAAAATTCAGCTCTAGATCTTCCTTCTCTACATCTGAATAATGTCTATCAATGGAGTGTACCCTTCGCCCTACAAAGTGATATACATGGGAACAGAAATGTGTATTTTTCTGCTTGTTTTACATTTTTCTGAAAAAAAAAATCCATCTGTTTAAAGCATGGAATTGTGAATTTTCTGCCTTACCTCGTCCTTTCATGTAAGACCTTTTCCTTTTAATCCTGAAAGCATACACTACTACAGACATGCCCATTAAGACCACCAAAATTGACAAGACTATGATGAGTATTTGGATCTTTCTATTGAAGCCAGGTTGGGAGACTGTAAGACCTTCATTTACAAAAATGAAATACATTCAACAGATTTTCTTACTAAAGTTATAACCAATCTCATTTCTATAATAAGTAGTATTCTGTATAGTTCGGATTGGCTTCTTTAGCTTTCTTGTCCCTATATGGCGTTTTCTCCTATCTAGTTCTGATATAATGTCTCCATCATATAGTCTGCCTTCACAAGCCACAAAATATATTCATTCAATCATCTTGAGAGAGGATCAAGTAGATGATCAAATATCCTTTAACAACGTGCAAATGGAGTCATCTTCTCTAAACTCACATAAGCATTATGTTCAAACTCAATTTGAATATTATGATTTACATGATGATATGTCTTTTGGGATAACATGATTAACATATCATAGCAGCCAAAGGAGTGAAAGACAAATCTAGGGGTTTTGTCTTGAAGTTTGGTGAATATATTATTAGAGAGAACAAATGTAGATACAATAGCTTGTGCAAGCACTGAATTAACTAGAAACAAATTCTACATATTGTATAGGAGATTCAATATGAATTATCCAATATGAAAAGTTATGATAGAATAGTGCAACAGAATAAGCAAAACAACAATTATATCTTTGAAACTACAAAAATGGTATACTCCAGTGGAAGCTAAATATTGAAGAGGAGTTGGATAGTGCTAAAATCAAGTTTGTCTGCACAAATATGGTCACATTCAGATTAAGTCTTTCCACACAAACTCTGAGCCTCTATATTCAAGATTTAATCATTCAACTCTACTAGAGCCAATGGCTGATGCATAAAAGTCCAAGAGTAAAAATATGATGTTGTGAAGAAATTTGTGTACCTGTTAGTAGGGATGAAGGCATTCTTATGTAAAGATCTTGACTCTCTTCACAGACCTTGAGATCCATGAGTTCACCAAACCATAGCAAGCATCCACTCCCCCCTTTTCTGATATCCAAATTTGCATAAGCTGTACAAGTGCAATTTTTCCTGCAGGCTATCTCACACTCGCCAAGTGTCATGCTCCTATTGTACCATGAATGTCGTGTGTCAGGAAATTTCATTTTAGTAACTTTCCGAAAGGCATCCCCACCCTTGCAATCTAAAGGAATTTGGAGCTTACACCCATTCGACCAGTCTGCTATGTTCCATTCTTCAGGGCTTTTTGGTTCAAAACCTTCCATACAATTACAAGGAGGATTTGTGTTGGTGTTACAACTTCCATAAGGACCACAGATTCCATAGTGACCACAACTATCAATCAGACCACTTGTATACACAAGCCAATCCTGACTTCGATTGTTCCAATGCAACATTGATATGCTTCCATCCCACTTCAAATGTATTATCTGAACAATTGAACTCTTCAGCTCGAATTTATAATATACTTCCTTCTGGTTGACAACAAAATCAAGAGAGTAAATTGGATTTGACATCTCAGTAGGCAAACCACTAAACCTGATGCCATTCCATGGTCCAAATCTTACATCTACTACTACACCTTGGCTCAATAATATTTGTGGATATCCATTTGTATCTATATAACTTACATACTGACCTGGAGAAGGATTATCAGGACCTTTCCATGATGTCAAGCTCCTGTTTATGCCTCTTACAAAGTCCATACCAAGTTTCATTCCAGCTAGCAAGGTGTCACCAGGATAATCAAAACTTTGCCATATGAAGTTTGTCTTATTAGAACTACTATTATCACCATCTTTTACAACAAAATTTCCAGTATCCAAAAGTTGTGCCACTGGATTGTTATTATATCTGACAAACGCGGAGGAATTGGATGACCAGATTACTGTATCGCCACAGCAGGAAAGCAATAGGTGTCCCTTTCTGTTGATTTTGAGGGTGCCTGTTCTATTGAGTAATGGAAACTCTCTGTTTGCAATCCATACCACTCTACCTGTTGATATCTTCTTGAACCATATTCCCAAGTATCGATTGTTTGAGTTACTGGGGCTAAAAAAGCCCAGTTCATACATTCCTCCAGTTGAAACAATGGTCTCACCATCTTTGATGCCTTGATTTGAAGATATGCTGTCTACAGAAAAAGAACCTGAGAAGAGCAAGAATAAAGAAACGATGCACAATAAACTTGTGAAAAGGCCTTCCATCAACTATTTACTAAATTATTTCTTCCTCGGGAAAATATTGTCTGGTTGGGAGCGCAGCCATAGCTGACCGCAGGCGTGGACCCCATAATTGTGATTGAGATTTTATTACAAAGGAACAAAACCTGCCAAAAAAAATAAATTTATTTGTATTAAAGAAAGCGTCTTGGAAATTTACAGATTTCACAGCTTATCGTTGTTCACGTGCTCTTACCTGTGTTGATCTGCTGATGAATGAACATATCTTATCTCATTTGAGCTGTTCAAATTTGAAAGATTCAATTTAACTTATTTAAATGAATATTTTAGATACTCTGTCCAAACCACAGCAATTAATATTGCTGCTTGCATCCGACAATATAAGGGATAATTTATGACCGCATACATATATAAACAATAAAAAGTTTGACTATTACCGATTCAGTACTAAGTATTTCCATTTAACTCAGTCACATTCAACCAATCGGATATGTAACTCCAAACCGACATTATACATCAATTACAAGTAAAAGCTGTGAGCGAAACATCAAAACAATAATCAACTTATTTGTCAACAAAAGTAGAAACATGAAACTCAAAATTCAGTCAGAGATCATGTTCATACCTTCGAATCATCGCATCAAATAATAAAAACAAAATTAAATGCACCCGCGCACTGAGGGGTGTTTGGCTTGTCTTTTTGAAAGGCAAAAGTCATTTTTGGAAAAGTTACAAAAAAGTCAGGTTTTCCTAACTTTTCCAAAAACTCAGTTTTCCTTATATACAAAATCCAAAAGTAGCTTTTAAAATGTTTTTAACAAACATCTTTTACTTTTTATCTTTTCCAAAAATGACTTTTGCCCCTCAAAAAGACAAGCCAAACACCCCCAAGACTGTTTTTTTACCTTCCCCAGAATAACTCGAAATTCAAAACCAAATTCTGAATTTGCATCCCGCGAGCATCAGTAGCAAATTCAAAATCAAGAAGTCTCAGAATTTAGACTTTTGATTTTTGTCTACTCTTTCGAAATATGTTGCGGGTTACCCGGACCCAATAGAGATAACGTGAGGGTTACCCGAACCCAATGGAGATAACGTGAGCAACCAATCTGTCCCAATTTTTTTCTATAAAAGATTAATTTATCTCTCCTTCATCTATACAATCTAATCTTTTAGATCCATTAGTAACCCAATCAAACCTATTTTTTATTAAAATTTTATATTTATAAAACTATATCAATATTGGTCCTTTTTTTATAGAGAAAATTAAATTAAGTTTTTTGATATATTTTATTTTATTTTTTATTAAAGATAAAATTTTCTTATTAACAAAAATTAGTTTTTGGTATAAAAATAATTGATTTCCCTCTAATAAAGTTGGACATGTACACATAAAGTTGTTATACAATCTCAAGCGAGCGGAGGCGTGGCCACGAACTAACTCACCAAAGATTGTCCAATTCTTATTTTTTTAATATTTTTTTTGTCACGAGCGGCTCACTAGGAACCCCCGATGGGGGTAGTATCAGTTTAGGTTATAACTTATAAGAGGGTGTCACGGATTGTGTTTGGAAAGAAAAACTGTGGTTGATGTGATTTCCTGATTTATTTAGGTAAAATCTAAAAAAAAGTTTACTAAGTTCGGTGGGTACGGATAAAATGTTAAGGCATGATATTATACCAAAAAAATGTCATAACTTTTTAATTTATGGTGTTATAACACCAAGTAAAGAAATAAACAATATGTTATAATCAAAGTTGTCAAGATCGGAATCCTACGTAGGATCGTTTTGGGGTTTACAAGATCGGGATCGTAAGATCCAGGATCGGGATCCTAAGATCCCACAAAATAAAACATAATTTTAATTTATAATTTTAAAATATGGAAAATATTTCAAACATTCAATTTTTCGTTCAAAAATAATAAAAAACTTCAAAATATTAGTCATAAGTCACAACACAAAATGATAAACGGTAAATTGGTAAATGGTAAAGACATAAAGTGGTAAAAAAAATTTCATATGAAAAAATAAATAAATAAATAAATAAATCAAGGGAAGGTAAGATCGAATCGAATCTCGATTCTACGATCCTACCCCAAATACAATTTGGCTCGTTTTTCATACCTAGAATCTTAGGATCGTACGATCCTACAATCAAGATCGCGATTTTGACAATCATGGCTATAACACCTATTAATTTTCATGTCATTATTTTCTTTTTAGATTTCTTTTTTTTCGATTTGTTTTTTATTTATGTTATAATATTTATAAAAAAATATAAATCAATAAGATAAGCTATTTAATTAAATCATAAATTGAACATTACATTAAAAAACTAAAAATAAAGTTTGCACAAGAAAAAAAAATATTGAACGCAAAAAATACGATAGTCCTAATTTAAAAATATAAAAACGTTACAATAATCCTAGTCCAGATATTTATTTTCGATCTTCTCCTTCATCTTTCATAGCACTTGCACTTCTTGTGGCATTATATCTTACTCGCGAGTGCGAAGAATTGTCAAATCGTTCTCCATTTGATCTTCCTTTGCTCGACGACGAAGAAATTTCAAGTGTTGGTGTTGCACTTCGACATGGTATTGTTCCCTCGCGACTTTGAATAAATCGAAATCATTCGCACCACTTTGCTTTTGCGAATAAAATCTCATTAAACTTGGTGCACCTATGACTATGAATGATTAGAGTCCACTTGCTACTAAGCATATCGAAATTGCGATATGGTTGTTTCTTCAAAATAATGTGAAATTTTCTGAGCACGACTTCCAAAAAATCAATTTCTTTATATCATTTTCTACAGCTGGATTTTCTGAAGTTCCATAACACGCGACCGTCAATGTATACTCCTCCTCCGATGTCCACCATAGTGGAGCTTCTTCTTCACTTTCCGCAATTGTTTTCCCTTTCCCTCTACCTTTCTGACTACCTCCCGCTTGCGTTTCGGGAACTGTATCTTGCGTTGGTTGTGTAGTTATTTGTGACATGGAAGCAAAGGTATTGAAAAGATTTTGTTGAAGGTTTAGGTTTTGTTGCATGTATAGGGATGTAGGAAATTGCATTAAGGTGAGGTGAGATTGAAAAAGTTTCCTGAAAATGATATTTGTGGTGAGTTTTGAGAGTCGAAGAGGTTTATATAGCACTCGTATTGCGTGAACCCCATCGGAGCGGATGTGTTTGTGTTTGGTGGAAGGGTGTTCGGGTTTTGCTTCATATTTGGTTGAAAAAAAAAATATGATTGATTTTTGTGTAAATAGAATGAGAGAATGGTGTGGTAATTTTTTTTTGTGTATATATGTGTATTTATATGGTAAATAAGTAAAAAAGTACTTTTTTTATTTTCCTTTTTTTATCATTCCCAACGGTCATTTGACCGTTTCTTTCAAAAATATACGCGTTATGAGGCATTACAATGGTAACGTGTGACAACGAAACGGGCAGCGGGCAATATAGCCACTGTTACCACGACGTTATGGTATGGCCACGTCGACAATGACGGAGCTTAACGGCCCCGTACTGCATAGTCTAATGCCCTTATTTTGTGGGTTAGTTGTGATTTTGGTCTCTATCTCATTAAGTTTAACAATTTAACTGTTATTTTTTTTAAATGACAATTTTATCCTTATAGATTATTTTTACAGTTGTATCTTTTTACCAAACTACAATGACACTTTCTCTAATTTTTATTATTAATTTTATTGAATTGTTATACATTAACTCTTTTAATTAATTTTTCTTAATTTCTTTTTATTGGATTATTTTTTGTATTGGATTATTATATATTAATAAATATTATTTTTAATCAATAATATTTATATATTATTAAATATTACTTTATTGGATTACTGATCTCTTCTAATTAACTTTTTAAATTTTTTTTATTAGATTAATTATTTTTTTATTGTATTATTAAACTATTTTTAATATATAATATTAATTTTTTTTAATTTTATTGGGTCCACCACAAAGTCGTCCAAGCACGCAAAAACGCCACCTCTTAACGTCGAAAATCGGCAAGACCACCGCCAATCTCCTTCATCGGAGGTCCGACGGAAACCCTACCAACCCATTCCACCCAACGCTGCTAGTAGCCACCTACTACACCATTTTGTCAATCTGTCAGAATCCTCCATATTTGCCACTAAGTCGACCATTTTCTACTACAACCACCACCATTCGAACCACCAAGAGGTCTGATCCACACACTCCTTGTCAATTCCTCCATTCGTTGCCTTCTACTACCTTTCCCTGCCACATAATCTCGTATGAAATCGCCAATCTTCGCATACAATTATGAATTCTCAACGAAAAACTACACTGGCCGACTACCCACACAATGCACAACAAACCCATGAAAAGAAATAGACTGCAGTAGGACATTTTTTGCTAGTAATTTTTTTTTTTTGGACCTTACCCAAAGAAATCGCCAAACCACAAAGATCATTTCTGCAGTTTTGTCTTTTCGAAACAACACTTTTTTTTAAAAAAAAATTAATAAGTCACAAAAAATGATTTGGCAATCTTAAAAAAATCAAAATGATTTTTCAATAGTTTTAAAAAGCCTTCAAAAAAAGATTTAAAAAGCATGTAAAACTTGATTTTTTTTTTAATTTTTTTCATCATAATAGCTTCAAAAATATATTTTAAGCCAAATATTTTTTAACTTATTGACTTTTGTCATCATAGAAGTTAATCGAAATATTATTTTAAAAACTTCTTTTGTCACTACCATAAGTCAATAAATATTTTTGTCCAAAAACACTTATGAAATTCAAACAACAATCTCAAACACCCCTTAAATAAAGTTAAGGTTAAGCGGTTTCTAAGTTATTCAATCTGGTTAATAAAATAAATGTAGCTAATATAAATGTTTATGTTGATAATTTTTTTTGTTAACATGACATTTCGGAGTATAGTATTAAATCGTAGTAGTCATTTCAGAATGTTTTTATGTTTTCTCTTCTGTGTTTATGTTTTTAAGGTAATTTCAATTAATGGTCATTTCTATTATTGATTATTTATGTATATTTTTTTTATGTTTTTATGTGTTTATGGTTTTATGGTTATTTCTGATTTTATGATTATAAGTTAAATCAACTGAAACAAAAAATCTATTGAAAAAAAATAAATACTTAATAAACTTTCACATAAATCTATTGAAAAAAAAATAAATACTCAATAAACTTTCACGTATGTCCAAATAATGATAAAACATGCAAATGGACCCCACGAACGATATAATACATGAGGGTTACCATATCAAATTTATTTGTGGCAAATCAGATTCAAGTGAAATGATATTCTTGACCATTGACCATTGACCGTTTGACCCGATGACTTCAAAAACAAAATACAGCTTACAGTCATGTAGATACGTTGTCACATTTCTCACTTTTGAACTTCAGATCATACTTCATCTTAAGGTTTAGGCAAGAGCTCATAAAACTTTTGTAACCCGATTGACACCCTTCTATCATAATCCCTAAATATTAAATCTTTTTGCGTGGGGAGAAGTTGGTATATTAAATAGAAAATAGTTTGTTGATGGAGACGGGATCTTCTACCAGTTTGGTGTATAAATATACTTCATCAATAGTCAGGAATAAGAAACTCCCACTATCATCAATACTTCTATTAGCTTTAAAACTCTCACTCTCCTCTAAGCTACCACTTCTTCCCATTCTCATCTCTCTGAAGTAATTATAAGATGTGGAATATCATTTTCTTAACCCCTTAAAGCATTACTTGTTCCTTTCCATGTGGTTTCTTCTTTCTTTATAATAAAGGTATTGCAAGATCATCTTTATATTCCAATTGAATATAACATTCATTCTTCTTATAATCTGATAATCCAGAAAAGTATATCCCATATTATCCAAACCTAGTAAAAAAAATATGTATTTCTTGGCACTTGCCTCGATTGTTTATGTCAGCACCCTTGATCTTGATATAAAAGACACATCCAAATACTCTTAAAGTGTGTAAAAGTTACTTCTCGATCTTGTCATTCCTCTTATAGAAACTTGAAACCTATAAAAACTGAATGTCCATGATTTATTAGGTGAGATTTGTAAGACTCCACAAGATATTTGATAATCAAGTTATAAGAGTAGTGTTAGGAATAAACAAGAATAAATCACACACAAAGCCAATGAACATCTGATGACATGGCATACAACCAACTTCACTATAGTAACGATCATATACAAGATAGTTATACCCCATGTAATGTGTATATGTGTCTTTTGTTGTGTTGTGGCCACTATAATACCCATGAAAGGAAAAGGCATACTCAAATATGATACAACGGACAAAAGCATGCAGCTTAATGATACATAATACACAAAAAACCACTAATGGTATAGGAGAAGAATGTGTCGAGACTAAATACACATCACTATTTGGCATATGAATACAAATTTCCTACCGAGGAACTAACAATGTTATAGTTGCTTCATCAACTTCTGAAAAAGTGTAGTGCTTACGTGAACCTTCTTCAGCAAAGAAAGCAGGTTGTTTAGGTGGAGGTAGTGATCCATCACCACCCAACATCATAACCACAGAGGACATAGTTGGTCTATCTTGTGCATGATTTTGTACACATAATAGCCCAACATGTATTGATCTTTTCACCTCTGAGATAATGCATGACTTACGTAAAGATGGACTCATGAGGTCAAGGTACTTGCCTTCTGTATACAGTCTCCATGCCTGAATGAAACCAAAAAGTTAATAAAATGTTTTCAAAAGAAGATAATTAATCCATGAGATTTACTTACATGTCCAAGAAGGTTATCATTGAGATCTTCATGTGAGAATTCTCTGTTTTTCTTCCCACTCACTATCTCCAGCACCAAAACACCAAAACTAAACACATCCGATTTTACAGAAAAGCGTCCATGAAGTACATACTCGGGTGATATGTAACCACTATAAAACCATCAAAAAGCATGATGTATAAGCATGAGGATATGAACCCCATGGTCATAGTATATACTATACAGATACTTACTATGTTCCAACCACTTTCTTCGTTTTGGCTGTAATCTGGTTTCCTTCAAACTCTCTAGCAAGGCCAAAATCTGATATTTTAGGGTTCATGTCATGATCCAACAGAATATTGGCTGCTTTGAGGTCTCTGTGTATGATTCGAAGGCGAGAATCTTGGTGGAGATAAAGCATTCCTCTAGCAATCCCATTGATGATGCAAAAACGTTGACCCCAATCAAGCATACAACTTTTGGTTTCATCTGCCAACACAAGATTACCATATAGATTTAGATTTAGATTTAACAGACTACTTTTACTTTAAAATGAAAATAATAGAATGATGAAAGAGCTGAACCGAATAGAAGTAAGTCCAGGCTTTTGTTAGACATGTATTCATAAATCAGGATCCTTTCATCTCCATCCATGCAGTATCCAACAAGCTTCACAAGATTCCGATGTTGAAGTTTAGCAACACAAACAACTTCATTGTAGAACTCATCATAACCCTGTTCAGAAGTTCTAGAAAGTTGCTTCACAGCTATCTCTTGTCCGGTTTCCAACACTCCCTAAAGATTATGGTCAGGAATATGATCAGCTTTACTTTTTCTGTTAACTGAGCAAAGCTATAATTCAATGCAAGAACTTACCTTGTAAACAGGACCAAAGCCACCTTCTCCAAGCTTATTTGTTGATTGAAAAGTTATTGGTAGCCTTGGTTATTATAGATAAGCTAACAAAATTCATCTCCAGATCTTCCTTTTGTACATTTGAATTATGTCTATCAATGGAGCGTACCCTTCGACCTACAAAGTGATATACACGAGTAACAGAAATGTCTACTTTTCCTTTTGCTTTACATTTTTCTGAAAAAAACAATTCCATTATGGCATTGCGAATTGTTTAATGTTTTCCTTACCTCTTGCTTTCATGTAAGACCTTTTCTTTTTCATGCTGAAAGCATACACTGCTACAGACAGGCCCATTAAGACCACCAAAATTGGCAAGACTATGATGAGTATTTCAATCTTTCTATTGAAGTCAGGTTGGGAGACTGTAAGACCTTCATTTACAAAATGAAACAAGTTTAACGGCTTTTCTTACTAAACTTATAACCAATCTCATTTCTATAATAAGCAATAGTATTATAGTTCAGATTGGCTTGTTTAGCTTTCTTGTCCCTATTTGGTGTTTTCCCCTATGTAATTATAACTTTGGCTAGCTGCTGGCCAGTCTTCTAATGATAATTTTGATGTTAAAAATATGAACTGTTGTGAAAATTTTAGTGTACCTGTTAGTAGGGATGCAGGCATTCTTATGTAAAGATCTTGGCTCTCTTCACAGACATTGAGATCCATCAATTCACCAAACCATAGTAAGCATCCACTCCCCCCTTTTTTGATATCTAAATTTGCATAAGCTGTACAAGTGCAATTTTTTTCCTGCAGGCTATCTCACACTCGCCAAGTGTCATGCTCCTATTGTACCATGAATATCGCGTGTCAGGAAATTTCATTCTATTAATTTTCCTAAAAGCATCTCCATGCCTACAATCTAAAGGACTTTGGAGCTTACACCCATTAGACCAGTCTGCTATGTTCCATTGTTCTGGATTTTTTGGTTCAAAACCTTCCATACAACTACAGGGAGGATTTCTGTTGATGTTACAGCTTCCATAAGGACCACAGATTCCATAGCGAACACAACTGTCTATTAGACCACTTGTATACACAACCCAATTTTGACTTCGATTGTTCCAATGCAACAATGCTATGCTTCCATCCCACCTCAAAGATATTATCTGAAAAAATTGAACTCTTAAGCTCGAATTTATAATATACTTCCTTCTGGTTGACAACAAAATCATGAGAGTATATTGGATTTGACGTCTCAAAAGGCAAACCACTAAACCTGATGCCATTCCATGGTCCAAATCTTAAGTCTACTACTAAACCTTGGCTCACAATTATTTGTGGGTATCCATTTGTATCCACATAACTTACATACCGACCTGTAGAAGGATCGTCAGGACTCTTCCATGATGTCAAGCTCCTGTTTATGCCTGTTACAAAATCCTTACCAAGTTTCATTCCAGCTAGCAAAGTGTCACCAGGATAATCAAAACTTTGCCATATGAAATTTGTCTTATTAGAACTACTACTACTACTACCATCTTTTACAACAAAATTTCCAGTATCCAAAAGTTGTGCCACTGGATTGTTATTATACCTGACAAACGCGGAGGAATTGGATGACCAAATTAGGGTATCGCCACAGCAGGAAAGCAATAGGTGTCCCTTTCTGTTGATTTTGAGCGTGCCTGTTTTATTAGGTATCGGAAACTCTCTGTTTGCAATCCATACCACTCTACCTGTTGATATCTTCTTGAACCATATTCCCAAGTATCGATTGTTTGAGTTACTGGGGCTAAAAAAGCCAAGTTCATACATTCCTCCAGTTGAAACAATGGTCTCACCATCTTGGATGTCTTGATTTGAAGCTATGCTGTCTACAGCAAAAGAACCTGAGAAGAGCAAGAATAAAGAAATGGTGCACAATAAACTTGTGAAAAGGCCTTCCATCAACGATTTAGCCTCTTTGATTATTGTCTGGCTGGGAGCGCAGACCTAGCTGACCACAGGCGTGGACCCGATAATTGTGATTGAGATGTGATTTCAAAGACTGCCAAAAAATAATTTTATTTGTATCAAAGAAAGCGTCTTGGAAACTTACAGATGATTGAACATATCTTATCTCCTTTACGCTGTTCAGGTTTGAAAGATTCAATAGAACTTGTTTAATAGAATATTTTATCCAAACCACAACAACTAGTGCTGTTTGCATACAAAAATAAATATAATCTCTGACCGCATACATACCAATAAAACGTTGACTATTACCGATTCAGTATATTTCCATTTAACTCAGTCGAACTCGCTGTCTAAACAAGGGCTTGGAAGCTATAATCCGTTCTCCTAAATTCAATCAATTGGATAGGTAGACAGACTGTAAACCGACGTTATACAGCAATTACAAGTAAAAGCAGTGAGCGAACATCAAAAGAATAATCAACTTATTTGTCCACAAAAGTAGAAACATGAAACTCAAAATTCAGTCAGAGATCATGTTCATACCTTCGAATCATCGCATCAAATAATAGATACAAAATTAAATGCACCCGCGCACTGAGACTGTTTTTTTACCTTTCACAGAATAACTCGGAATTCAAAACAAAATTCCGAATTCGCATCAGTAGCAAAGCCAAAATTAAGAAGGTTTGCAAAATCTCCAGATTTTAGACGATTAGTTACGTTTAACAAAGGCGTGAGGGGAATTCCATACCTTTGTTCGGTGCCTCCTTCGTCTACTGTGCACCAGTATTTTTGATTCAGCGTTTTGACTTTTGATTTTTGTTACTTTAAAATCGAAGAGCGGCAAAATTGTTGCGAGTTACCGTTACCAGGACCAAATAAAGTTAAGGTTATTCGGTTTGCTCACGCTAGAAGGGAGTCTTCGTTACAGGGGTCGGTTCGGTAATCCGGTTTTTCGGTTTCCTCGAATCGTTTGAAATTTTTTTTAGTCCAATTCGAAAACCGAACCAAATCAAATTCAAATTCTCTAGACCAAACTGAAAACCGAATTCTAATTCGGTTTGGTTCAGTTTGAAAACCGAGGAAACCAAATATTAACTTAAAAAAATTTCAAACATAAACTTAAATGTTTTTAACATAGAAAACTAAAGTTGCAAACAGAAAGATTTAAAGTTTTAACAAAATGCTCCAAATAGTATATGGGTAAAAATGATTTTTACTTTATAAAAATATATTTTTATTTAATATAAAATATAAAATATATTTTTTAATTAAGTGACTTATGAAATTCGGTTTTTCGGTTCGGTTTGGTTTAAACTTCATGAGACCAAAATTTGAACCAAAAACCACATTTACAATTCGGTTTGGTCTCAAACGAAACCAAAAACCAAATTTGAATATGGTTCGGTCTAAAATCGATTTTGATTCGATTTGGTTTTCGGGTTTTTTGGTTCCGGACCAAATAATTCCCACCCCTAGTTACACGTCGTTCTTTTCCCTAAAAGTATGGTTTCCACTAGAGGCATGCAAGAAACCGTACAAACCGCATAAACCGCTCGCACCGCACCGCACCGCACCACACCGCATAATGCGGTTTTGAACTTTTGCGGTGCGGTTTGCGGTTTGTAATATTTGTAAACCGCACTATGCGGTGCAGTTTGCGATTTATAGTTAGAAAACTGTGGTTCAAACCGCACCGCAACGCACTATATATATATATATATATATATATATATATATATATATATATATATATATATATATATATATATATATATATATATATATATATATAATTTGATTACAGTACTAATATTTACCATATAAAAACTATTATACTTATTTTACAAATCGAATGTCAAGCCATAAATATGATATAACACAATTATGCATATTTGATAACTTCTAACTATGGCTAATTGATTCTTGTAGCATAGTCTTTAATTTATCTTTTTTAAATTATCATTGCATCAATTGTTTAATCCGATTGCAGATATTGTTTAATAAATTTGGAGTTGTGTTCTACATTATTTTTTTCTTAATGTTGGTCGTTATATCAAAACAACGAAAAAAGGAATGTCGAAAATATATGGATCAGAAAGCAACACATAAATTGGCAAACATAATGACATATATATTATACGTATTCAAATATTACCGAATCTAAAATTGAATGATACTAATAAAAGTAACAAGGTTAAGTATCTTATCAAACCGCACATAAACCGCAAAACCGCATGTGCCAAACCGCATCAAACCGCACCGCATACTGCGGTTTACGGCTTTCGCGGTGCGGTTTATGGTTTGGAAAAATCGTAAACCGCATATGTGGTGCGGTTTGCGGTTTTAAGTCTAAACCGCACCGCGAACACCCCTAGTTTCCACAATGCAAGGAGTGACGTAGTATTTGATTTTTTTTCACTTTAATAAAATAAAAACTATATTTTTAATAAAAAAACATTCATTTCATTACTTTAAAATAAAAATAACATTACATTTCATTGCTTAAAAAAATCCTAAATACTTCGAAAAAAAACACTAAAAAATTTAAACCTACAAACTTAAAAAAACATACATCAAACGATTAAAAATAAAACACACTACATGAAGTCGTCTTCCGAGAACTCGTCTTACGGGTCATCTGCGGGATCCAAATTGAGGTTAATGTGTTCCACCAAGTCCATACGAAGATTGTGAAATGTTTCATTGCAACAAACACCTGCTCTCTTTTCAATGTACTCGTCCCCCCCCCCCCCCCCCCCCCCCCCAAATTTCTATTGCTTGTGTCGCGGGAATGGTTTCCTCCTCATCATACTCACATATCGCTCTTCCTTCGTTTTCGATAATCATATTATGCAGTTTTATACATGCATACTTCATGCATTTTTTCCTCGCTGAAAAAAAATTGTTGGTGTTTTCAATATAAACCAACATTTCTTGAGAGCTCCAAAAGCCCGCTCAACATCCTTCCTAGCTATTTCTTGAGCTTTCTTGAATTTTTTCCGACGAGTATCATTCGGACACGTAAACGATTTAACAAAAACTGCATACTCAGGGTAGATATCATCAACTAGATAATAACCACATTTATATGGTGTTCCACGCAATTGGAAATAAGAATCTGGTGCAAATCCGTCGTATATGTTGTTAAATATAGGTGAACGATTAAGAATGTTAATGTCGTTAATGGATCCAGGATAACAAAAAAAAAGCATGTCAAATCCACTGATCATGTGATGCCACCGCTTCAAGTATGATCGTTGGATGTCCATGATCACCTCGGATAAATTGACCATGGTGTGAGGTAGGGCAATCTTCTCATGCCCAATGTAGATAATCTAAACTTCCTAACATTCCAGGAAAGTCATGTACGCTAGAATGATGAGATTGCAATTTCATGATATCATTGCATGTAGGCTTCCGTAAATATTTTGGACCATAAAATTGAATAATAGTTTTGCAAAAATAGTGTAGACTATTTCGTACAGTCTTAGCTGACATCCTAAAACTATCGTCCAACGCATCAGGAACGATGTCATATGCTAATTGACGAAGTGCAGATGTGCATTTTTGTAAAGGGGTGAAACCGGGTGTATCTCTAGCATCGGGCAGTTGCTCGAAAAAATCACACTCCCTCGTTATATCTTCGACTATACGTTCGTACAAAGGTTTGAACATTATGAAGCGCCTTCTTAAGTAATATCCTTGAAAAGTGACATTTTCTTGAAAGTAGTCTTGTATCAAACGTTGATTTGCATCTTCACGATTTCTACAAATAAATCTTCGGGTTCTCCGTTCAGCACTGTCGGATGCGCTGCTGCATGCCGCTTCATACATTTGTTCCGCAAATTTAGCATCAACGACAAAAACATCGAACATAACATCAAATTCGTCAGAAGAATAGGACGACGACATTTTTTTGATTTTTTTGAGAGGTAATGTAGTAGAAAGATAAAAAAAAATGTGAAGGGTTGAGAGGCTTATATAGAAGCTAAAGGTTAAAATGAAAAAAAAATTAAAAAATCAAATTATGACCGTTTGCAACGGTCAAAAAGGTGTGGCCAATCAAAAACGTCCGAGAAGTGCTCCCTCCCACAGCCGTAGTGTGGCCTCAGCCGCACCCATACCACACACATGGGACGGTGTTTGTGCCTACGTGTCACAGGACTGCGGCCTCAGCCGCATCCCACTCCATCGTGTCTTATAATAAAAGTTAAGGTTACGTCGTTTTCATGGTATTTGGTTTTGTTAATCAAATAGAAATATAACTAATGTAAATGTTTGTATCTACGATTTTTTTTATAGTGCTGGCAAAATGATCAATTTGTTCGGAACATCGTGATATTTTGGAATATAGTCAGAAATCAGCAGGATGAGCCATTTTGGAATGTTTTTATGTTTTTTTCGTGTTTATATATTACAAAAATTTCAATGAGCCGGAATGTTTTTATGTTTTTTCGTGTTTATGTTTTACGAATATTTCAATTACTAGTACATTCGATAATTTATATATGTTTTTTTATATGTTTATTGTTGTATGGTCTTTTTTAGTCGTAATATTTATAAAATAAATCAAGAAAAATCTTCATAAGTGTAACGACCCAATTTTCAAAACAAAATTTTCATTTTTAATTATCCAAAATGCATGTTTACCATCCACAAAACCAGTTACAATTGTTTTCAAAACATATCAATTACAACTTTGTGTTAAAACATCAGAGTGTCCCGTAACATAATAATGAGAGATAGATTGCACGTCGCGTCATCAAGCCTTGCCTTTGCCCTTGGGCTCAGATGTACCTGAAACAAATCCAAAAACTGTAAGCTAATGCTTAGTGAGTTCCCCAGAGCATACCACACATACAATTCAAATATCACATATCCTACTAGCCCTAGGGCTACATACATCACATAAGTCATGCATACAACCGATAAGGATGTCGTGGGATCGTCCCCAGGGTCTTACTCCAGGATGTCATGGGCTCTCCGTATGGTCTTACACCTAAGTATCATGGGCTCTCCCATGGTCTTTGATAGGAAAGCCATGGGCTCTCCACATGGTCTTATATCTATGTGTCATGGGCTCTCCCATGGTCTTCTATACAATATACCACATATATCAAAGCATACTTCCTAGATCATACCAACTAACATGTCACATAATACAATCTCAGCTAGGATACTACACATCATAAAATGGGCCGGCCTTGGTGCCTTAGACCCATTGGTATGGTGAGGAGACTCACCTCTGTCTGCTGAATACAAAGTTGTTCTCTTAATAGTCCGTAACCTTCCGTGCTGAATAATAATATTAAACAATGTTAGGACTTTAATTAATCAAAGGAAACCCAAACTCCAAACCCTTCTATAACGTCCAATTATCCATCCCTTGCTAATGGGCCCAAAGTCCAAGTCCAAAATCCTTAATGGGCCTCTTGGCCCAATAAGGCCCAATCAATATGTCCATGGCCCATAACCGATGATATGACTCATAATTCCCAGAAAACAACCATGCCCAATAATCAAATGAGGCCCAATAGCTCCAAGGCCCAAAACAGATCCGGCCCAACTGTGATGCGTACGCTCGGCGTACCATCCTGGTACACGCAGTGTACAGGGGTCTTGGGACTACGTGCGGCGTACACTGGGTTACGCCCAACGTACAACCAGTTCAAGCACTTTCTCCATTAAGTGCTTAATACTCGTTTCCTTTACGTCCAAAAGCCAGATCTAAGTTTGTTAAGGCGTCCTAAGGAATAAAGTTGGCAACTTTATGCCTTTGCATGCCTCATAAACACCCAACACTTCCATTAAGACCTTTCCAAGGTCTATAACCCATGCATGAGGCCAAAACTCCCATCAAGACTCAATTTTTATGGTTCTAAAGGACCAAGGGACCTCAGATCTGTCATTCCCATCCTTTGGAGTTGCTTAGCTCACAAGAGGAGGTCCAAAACCAACCAAAGGGACAAAAGTAGAAAACCCTAGCTAGATCTATTGATTTAAATGGAAAGGTGCAAGCTTTATACCTCCAGAAGCTCCTCAAGGTCGACAATATGCAGGTTCTTGAAGCCAAATGACACTCCAAGCTTCCTTGCCAACTTCTTCTTCTTGGATGAAGACAAAAAGGACCAAAAATGCACTCTTGAAGCTCAAAATGCACTCACAAATGATATTAGGGTTTTCAGAGGCGTTTGAAGGTGAATGAGGCTGTTAAGGGTGAGGCTCAAAAGAGTTAAGGGTGTTTATATAGGTCTCAAGTCCGAATTTTAGGGTTTGAACATCCTGGCACGTACGCCTAACGTACGTGCTGCCTCTCCGTGATCCTCCTTGCCAAGTACGCTAAGCTTACTCATAAGTACGCCCAGTGTACTCAAGGTTCTCTTATGATATAATAGAAATACTTCAAGGGTTACAAGGTCATACCTGATTTGGAGTGTTACAACTCTCCCCTACTTGAACTAGACTTCGTCCTCGAAGTCCACAGCTGCGAATAGATTGTGATAATGCTCCCGCATCTCCTCCTCCGGCTCCCAAGTCCACTCGGAGCCCCTTCGGTGTTGCAATTGCACCTTCACCAGTTTCACCTCCTTGTTCCGAAGACCCTTCGTCTTCCTATCTAAGATGGCAACCGGCCTCTCGATGTAGTTCAGGCTCCCATCCACCTGAATATCGTCCAACGACACAATTGCGGACTCGTCAGAGACACACTTCTGAAGCTGAGATACGTGGAAGGTATTGTGAATCTGACTAAGCTCCTCTGGCAGCTCTAAGCGATATGTCACCTTGCCCACCCGGGCCGTGATCCTGAACGAGCCTATGAACCGAGGCCCCAACTGATGGGTTTTAGGTAAAACAAATAAACTAGAAAACAATTCCTAAGTTCACATGCAACCTACTTTGGATCTATGTTTTAACTATTGAACATATGACTTTGAATTGCAAAACAAGAACCCTAGAGGAGAGAGGCTAATTTCGAAATTAACAAACTAGGGTTTAGGGTTTACATACCTTTCAATTGTTATAGCAAACAATTGATCTTGATCTTGATCTTCTTGGAAGCTTTAGCACCACAAGTGTAATGCCTCTAATGGAATCACACCCAATGACTAGCAAGAAGGAAAGTAAAAGAAGAGAGAGGGGAGGGAGTATGCAATTTCGGCCAAGGTATTCTTCCAAAGAATGAGTACCCTAAAATGTGAGCCAGGAGGCTCCTTAAATAGTTGAGGGAACTAGGGTTTAGGGAAAACCCTAGTTATCCTTTGCTTAGGGCCTAAGCAAGACCCAAGGCCTTATCTTGGACCCCTTGGACGAATTCTCTAGGGTTTCCCCTAGGGTTTTCGTCCACCCCCTTCCAAGGGAGTTCTGGATCCTTCCATTCAACTATCAGTTAATTGCAAACTAGTCCCTGCACTTTATAATCAATTCTTTTAACCCCAAAATCAATTCTGATTAATTTCTGGCTAACAATTAATTAAACATAATGATTTCTAATTAATATATTAATCCATTAACATATTAATAAATCATTTATATATATATATATATATATATTAATTTATTAATCTTATAAATTAATATCTCTCCTTTCATAATTTCCTTGTCCAGTTGCTAGGTTGAGGGCAACCCAAAAGGACTGTGCTGCTATCAATTCAAGTACATACCAATTATAGTTATGGGCTTA